ACATTTTTTGTGTGTGGAAATTAGGTAGGGGTGAGAGGTGATAACATTTGGGCAAGTTTCTTCTCACACGAGTCCAGAGTTATTAGGTTTTGCATTGTCTTAACCATGATTAAATCCAGTGCATAGAAGGCATCTTCAGTCCTGGACTGAACAAGACTGAACTCTTGGACAGTATTGATATTTGTTTTTCTCTGTACAACCTTACTAGAGTAGGTACTTAGATGTGGTTGACAGTGACAAAAATACATTGCCAAAAAGGAAGACAGAAGAACTTACAGATTTATTTCTGAGGTTTTAAAGAGATGCTAAGAGTGTTTGTGCAGGTATGTTCATCTTTGTATGCATGCTGTGTATGTGTGTATGTGTGTGTGTGTGTGTGTGTGTGTGTGTGAGAGAGAGAGAGAGAGAGAGAGAGAGAGAGAGAGAGAGAGGGAGGGAGAAAGATTTATTACAATAACAATGAAAAGGTCTAGAAACTATTGACACGGTAAAGCTGGATGACAGGTTTTACTGACTGAAAGCATAACACAAATGAGGACACCATTTAGGTCAAATGTGCACCACTGTAAATCTTGATCTTTCTTTAGGAGAGGACTGGGATACTGAAACATATTGTTCAAGTTGAGCCTCATTTGTGGTAGACTGATGGACACATTCATACAATTTCTTTGGCCATATTCTTGGCAATAGTGATGGTCTCCATTCAAATCTAACTTGAAAGTAAACTAACTAGCCAAAATAAGATTGGCCACAAGCCACTGCTTATTAATAGCACAACACATTTAAAGAAATGAAGGCTGGCTTCTTCAGGGTTTCAGTTTTGTAGCTTTAACACCTTATGAAACATGATTTCAGTCATCATTCTAAACTATGCTAAGAATGAGTCACACATTTATATATTAGAGAAACGTAAATTAAAGGGAAACTTCAGTACCAGTCTTTGTATATCAGAATGACTTTTGTAGTGATGCTGGAGCAATTTTGTTTTATGTTGTTACACAGAAGACAGAACTGGAATCATCATGTGGAAATAAGAAGTGAATATTGGTAAATCAACACAACCTTCTTGCCCTTGGTGAAGTCACCCACTGTTTCCAGAGGACGTGTCAGTATGCCTTTGCTTCCAGAAGCCTTAGCGCCTCATTTCTTTTCCTCATGCAATAATATGACAATTTACAACTCTTACATTAACCTTTTCCTTTTTAAAGTTTAGCTCTTCCATGATACTTATTCAGCAACTGCACCAATCTGGATGATCATCTGATGGCACCAAGAGATACCACAATTCTAACTCTTTACCTAATGGCCAAAAGGTTTTAAACACATAATAATTGTGTTGGGGAGACAGCAATATTTAGAGGACCCATAATTTTCTGCTGTCTCTGGGACATGGTATCAGAATAGACAGGAAACCTGACCATATAAGCTAATTTTACTTTATTATAAGATTACATCAACAGAATCTTGCAAGTCTGAAAGTAGAGGTGGCCAACAGTATTGTATCTGCAGATAATTAACAATCTGAACTGGTCTCTCTACACGTCATCCTCAGTGAAGCGTGCAAACCAGCATCTGCATTTCCTGTGTCAGATGAAGAGAACACATCTTTTTCTTTCTGTCCTGGCCACTTTTTACACAGGCACAATTGAGAGCGTTTTAACAAACTGCATCCCTGTTTGGTTTGGTGGCAGCTGTGCCTCAGATAGAAAGTCCATACAGAGAGTGATAAGGACAGCTGAGAAGATTCCTGTTATTCAAGATACTGCTTATAAGCATTATGTGCTTAGAGCTCAAAGCATTGTTAGAGACCCCACATATCCACTTTACAGTTTGTTTCTGTTTCTCCCCTCTGGGAGGAGGTTTCAAAAGTATTTCTAGTAGGACTACCAGATTCTGTAACAGCTTTGTTCCCTATGCCATTCATCTGGTAAACTCGCAAGATTTGTTTCTCTCATCATGTACATGTATAATATGAACTAGACTGTGTTGTTTCTCTGTGTCATATGTGGGTATATGCATAATTTTGTATGTATGTATGTATGTATGTATTTAATCATGTTTATGTAGTATATATTGGAGATGGAGACCCTTTGAGAGCTGTATGCAACGAAATTTCATTTTAATGTATGCTGATTTAATGTATGCTGATTGTCACTTTGAATGTGACAATAAGTTATTCTAAGTCTAAGTCTACTTCTCTCCCCCGTCCCCTTTACAGTCCAAGAAACTAGGGAGAGTCCTTCTCAGCATCTTGCCCCACCAACATTTCTGCTATGGGCTAAGTTGCCGTTGATGTGATCCCTGCCTTGGCTGTATTTCTTTTGCCTTGTCTCCCAAGGTCATTCCCACATACCATTATGCATAAGCAAAGCAGTCATATAGATAGTGTATATGGACAAGAATATGAATATTCTGGTCCTCCAGGGTTTTCTGAATTATGGTTGTTAGCATCTCTTGGAATGCTAGCTGAGATTCCTGGGTGATGAAAGGCCACAGGTACCCCCTGCATCAAGGGAAATGCCATGTACAGGAAGTTGCATGAGATGACTCTCAAGGTCCCTTCCTTAAGTATCTTATGAGATGACAATGTGTACTGGTGCTACTTTTTGGGTGAGATTGCAACTAAGATCAAAGGAATTACAGCTGAAAAATCTCCCTGCCCTTCTTGATGCTTTTGCTCCCCCCCCCCATCCCTGTGATCTCTGGACCTGGCAGCTTTAATTATTGTCCCTGGGGAGTCTCAGTATCCTTCAACTCCATCACTGTTTTCAGCATGAAATCAGCAGAACTCCTGTGCCCTTGTTGCTTTGGAATCAAGTTTTCAGACAACTGTAAATCACACGCACACACAAGAACCTCCCTTTCAAGGCACAGCGTCGTTTGACTTAGCATTCAGAACTGCAATGTGATTTGTTTAATGTATAGATCTGTCAGAACTAATAAATCTTCACGGCATTATGGATGGCGTTATTAGTTTTGATCAAGATTAGAGCTGAAACTCGATGAAGTGGCTGATGTTGATGCTTATGGGCTATCAGTTCACATATTAGACTTTCTTTAAAAAGAAGGAAGCTAATGCAATTCAGAGCATACTTCTATTAAAATATTTAATAGCGCACTGATATTGACGGGAAAGCTATTCCTGTATTCCTTCAATGGTACAAATGCAAGGCATTACATGGAAGGAAAAAATACTAAAAAAAATAGGTAGTCCTCGATTTACAACAGTTCATTTAGTGACCGTTCAAACTTACAATGGCACTGAGAAAAGTGACTTATGACCATTTTTCACACTTATGACCATTGCAGCCTTCCCATGGTCATGTGATCAAAATTCAGACGCTTGGCAACTGACTCACATTTGTGATGGTTGCAGTGTGATCATCTTTTGCGACCTTCTGACAAGCAAAGTCAATGGGGAAGCCAGATTGATTTAACAATCCTGTTACTAGATTAACAACTGAAGTGATTCACTTAACAAACGTGGCAAGAAAGGTCACAAAATGGGGCAAAATTCACTTAACAAATGTCTCATTTAACAACAGAAATTTTGGGCTCAATTGTGGTCAGGGGTGCAACCCAGCAGGTTCTGACAGGTTCTGGAGAACCGGTAGTGGAAATTTTGAGTAGTTCAGAGAACCGGCAAATGCCACCTCTGGCTGGCCCCAGAGTGGGGTGGAAATGGAGATTTTGCGATATTCTTCCCCCAGGAGTGGGGAGGGAATGGGGATTTTGCAGTATCCTTCCGCTGGAGTGGGTGGGAATGGAGATTTTGCAGTATCCTTCCCCTGCCATGCCCACCAAGCCACGCCCACAGAACCGGTAGTAAAAAAAATTGGATTTCACCACTGATTGTGTTTATAAATCGAGGACTACCTGTATACATGTTTCTTTAGTGTATGATCATATGACAGAACCAACTTTTCCGTGCTGGGTTTAATCAAGATCTGAAATGAAACTGGATAATTTTATGTTCTGAGCTTAATGACCATATAGCCTCCTACTTCTAGATCAGGGCTGTCAAATTCATGGACTGTGGGCTGGATGTGTCACCTGCTGGCCATGCCCATGCCCAGTTTAGTGAAGGGGAAAAAAGTTGTGTGACGACACCGTGATGACATGAGTTTGACACCCCTGTTCTAGATAGTGATCTGTATTTCTATTACTTTGACATCAAAATATGACAAGCCAGCTCTCTTGTGTTTGAGGAAAGTTAGCCCTTTGTCTGGTAGAAAGTGATATGTTCATTTCAGGCAGCAGATTCTGGAAAAAGAGGAATTGGAGAAAGGAACTCTGGATGCCTCTGAACCTACCCTGGCTATCTTGATGTCTTTATATGTAAGGAAAGGTGGTGTTTCCATTACCGGTTTAAAATGCAACTATACCTTAATGCAATTTGTATGACGACCTGGAGATTTCATCTTTACTTCTGACTCCAAAATTATTTGGGCTCCTCCTAGTGTGGAAACATCTTCTCAGACTATTGAATGGGGTCTGGGGTGTTGAATCCAAAGTTCTGCACTGTGGGCATAGCTGAACTAGAGGTCTTCTTACAGTCTGTAGAAACTCATAAACTGGAGTTCTGCCTAAAGGCAGTTTGAATCTCCACACCCACCCAAGCTGATTTTTATTCTTGCAAAAGAGACATGATTTTTTCCCACTCCTGCTCACGATAGAGTAAAATGATCTTGCTTCCTCCTCATTCTGCTCACCCAAGGAGAAAAAAACCATGGAAAAGGGGGACCCAGAGAAAGTTCCTATCCATTTGGAAGAGTCAGCTGGAGTTGTTCCCTTCCCGAATATATTTTTCTTTTAGGACATCCTAATTTATTCCTGCTTTGTAATCTGAGGGCTCTTTCTCCTCAGGTTAATTTCTTTAAAAGAATGTTTACTTTTAATAGCAATAGCACTTAAACTTATATACCGCTTCACAGTGCTCTCTAAGCATTTTACAGAGTCAGCATATTGCCCCCAACAATCTGGGTCCTCATTTTACTGACCTCGGAAGGATGGAAGACTGAGTCAACCTTGAGCCTGGTAAGGTTGGAACTTCCAAATTGCAGGGAGCCGGCAGTCAGCAGAAGTAGCCTGCAGTACTGCGCCACCACAGCTCTTAATATGATCACCTGATCCTTACGTGGTCTGTTGATGCAAGGAAAGAGAAGAGAAAGAAGATATCTTTTTAGTAAATATAGTAGTAAAATATACTGAGTATGGACAGTGGGGAATAACTTTTCTAAATCTACAGAAAGAAGAAAAAACTTTTTTATCTTGTTCTCTCAGAGTGACGTGAAGGCTTTTCTTTCTCAAATAAATTATTAAGAGCAATCATTTGTCACACAATGTTGCTCAGACCCTTATCCACATTCCCACCCTGTCAATCTCCACCCCCCTCAAAGTTAGCAACCACTTACTATTTCCACCAAATGGATGGAAATAAAGAGATGCCAACAGTTCAGAGCAGCATCATTCCCGCCCAACTTAGTCAAGTGTTTATAGGTGAATTTTATTCCCGTTCTAGGATTATCATCTACTATAGTTCAAAATGATGTTGGAGCCAAACCAAAATAAGTCTGAACTGAATTTAAAAATGCATTTAATAATATACAACAAATTCCTAGTGTATTACCATGTATTCCTCATGCCAAAATTTGGTAGTGGAATAGCCCATGCTACACAAGGTTACCCATCCCTGCTTTTATTGCTTTAAATGAGTAGGTATCTTGGGTGTCATTATTACTGTAATTACTTTCCTTGCCCATGAAGTACCCTTGTGCATTACAGGATAGGAGGAAAGAATTTAAAAACCTCTTGATACTTCCTCACAACATTAATCCTCTTCTCCATCCTTGCCTTGCTGGAGGTGCCAGCCATGGAAGATCAAAGTCAGCTATTTTGCAAGTGTTCCTGTTGTTCAAAGCAGATCAACCAAATCCAGACAATCTAACTAACCCCATGGCCTAGGTATCAAAACTCTTGAAAGGATTGGTCTAATTGCTTCTAAAAAGTCCTTTAAGGGAGCCATCTATTTATCTGCCAGTTCATTTCCTCTACTTGGCACTTCCCAGGGGAAGTTTCCAAAAAGGCTAATAGTTTAAAATCTTCAGTACATTGATATGCTTGGCATTGTGGTTGAGGCACCAACCTAGAGACCAGGTTATTCCTGCCTTAGTCACAAAACCAGCTGGGTGACTTTAGGCCAGTCACACTCTTTCAGACCTGGGAAGGAGGCAATGGCAAGCCATTCCCAAAACCTAGTCAAGAAAACTACAGAGACTCTGCCAACTCTGACTCCAAAATACATGCATACCCACATAGATATATGGCTGTTCCACCTATATGGCACATATATGTAGGTGAACTATATTTCTGCCTTCCCTCTGTTTCATTTACACACATTCATTAAAAAAGAAACTCAGCTCAGGTTATATCACAAGACTAGACTTCATGGTCTCCCAGTTTCTAGGCTGGTGCCTTAACCATTACACCACATTGACTGAGTTTGATAGATGTTGCAACATAAGTTTGTATGTACAATGCAACATGCAATCAATCTATTAAATATTTGTAGCAAAACTCATTTGGTATCCTCACATAAATCACTATCTGCTTATAAAAATACACCTACAATTCCATTCCCAATCAGCACATCTTATACAGATTTATTCATAAATACACTAAGCCAAAGGGACATTGTATGTTTTTTTTTTATCTTACTCCCTACTTCCTTCAGTATTAAACCATATGCTAAACCTTCCATTTATGCCTGCTTCCTTTGCAACATATACTGCACTATTCTTGCCACATTCAGCAATCACCTTCAACTCCCTATTGGCAAAAGACTTTCTCTAATTCAGGTGTATTCATTTTAGTATGTTTTCTCCAACTTACCAAATATGCAGTAAACCTTATTTTCACATTCACACATTGTTTCTGAATTCTGAACCTCTTTGTATTGTTCACCAATTCTCTCTGTCTTTATCAAAAACAATGCTATGTTTTTAGTACCACAGAAATTCTGCATCAAAATATCCTGTACTGTAAAATATTGCTGCCACTCATTTGCCACCAAGTATATTGGGAGGTAAGGAGGGGCAGATGGAATAGTATTTAGTATTTTATGAATTGATTAATTTTATACCTTTACGTTGTTTTCAACTCCTAGCATAGATAGATTTTTTTCTATGACAATCTGTCCTTAACCTGTTTTTTCAGGTCTCCAACAATGCACTCATCACCACTGTAACTGAATCCATCTACCCTGCTGCAGATTGTCCTCTTCTTCTCCTTCATTCCTTCATTCCCAGCATTAGGACCTTCTCCAAAAACCTAGGTTTCACAAATTGTGCCTGAAGTAAGACAAGTTGAGCTTGGATTTTTGTGCCTCAAATGAGAATTCTGGGTTGATTTATCTGGTAATCCATTTGTTTGTTTTCTTGGCAGTCTATGTTATTCTCAGGAGTCTTCTTCTCAAGATATTTGGAAATAAAGCCAAGTTTTTTTTTCTAATTAAATATTGCAATTTCTCAAACTTCTGCTCTCTTGTAAAAATACTTCAGTTTATGTACTTGCTATCAGACCAGCCAGTAGTTTTATGCTTCTTATACCATATATTTCCATCCCTCTAAAACCTCCCTTGCTGACCTTCCAGCTTGATAAAGTCTCAGAAAAGAAGTTCCTTCCTGGCATGTGCTAAAGTGATAAAATCTGGTGAGATGGGTAGCAAGTTTGATAAACAACAAATAAACAAAAAAAAATAGTTTAAAAATCACACTTCACTCATGAGAAATTCTCTCTGTTTTAAATGATTTAAAAACAGAATTTTGTTCATCAGTAAAAATTAGACCTGGTTAAAGGAATAAATACAATCTCACACTAATTAGAATTAATGCAAAGATCTGTGAGGCAAGAGTGTATGTATATAGATCAGTTTAACAAAGACGATAGCAACTCTAGCAAAAATCCCCAATATTGTATAATGACAATAATGTATGCGTCAAATGAATTTCCTAATAAAACAGATGTGGCAAATTACATTTAATAATGTTTGACAATATCCCACACCGCTAATGGTTTGTTAGAAATTAGTCCCTAATGTTTTAGGGACTGAAGGTTCTTTTACCCATTTGCTTGGTCTCCGTTTCTATGTTTCATTTTTAACACATCATTTTTCTTTACCACTTTCCTCAGCTCATCATTGATTCTTTCTTCTCATTGAGAGTTTACTTCAAAAGTCAGAGTTTGCATATGGCAATTGTAATCTTCAAGGAAAAAGACTATAATTTAATTTAAATATATATTTATTTTCCATATAATATAGGTTTCTCAAAAATTAGACTACATTTTTAAGAAGACAGTGAATTTGGAACTAGATGCATAGACTATTCAAAAAAATATGTTTAGTGGCTCTTTCTTGGCGTGCAAATGAGATTCATTAGTAAGACTCTTATCTATGCATTTGGAATATACAATCATTGCAAGGAGATATGCAATAGGACTCTGTAAGATCTCTTTAGAAATTCCAGGAGATGCCTATCAAGATAGATTCATATGTGCTTGTCATCAGTAATATGACCTGTATGATTGAGAAACTGGACAAGTGCATACATTGCCAAACCACTGGTGTTCAAGGTAGCCAATAGAAATGTAAATATAAAAATACAATGGTATGTTTAAGAATTAAGCACAGACAAGATTTAGAGAAAATAGCTTAGTTTTCCACATTGATGGAACAGGAAGAAACATGGTACAGAAATCATACATTATATATTTTAGAATTATGATGCTTTTTTATTCATTTATTTTATGCTTTCACTTTTTCTTGGCAAAGATCAGGAAAATCTACCTATATTAGGACATTGTGAAGAAGTCTGGATGTAAAAGAATGTGTCATATGAACTAAAGTGAACAAAAGTGAGAGAAGCAGAAGTGACAATAATCAAGAAAAACCCAGAGAGAATGATGTACATGCTTAGGAGCAAACCAGCCGGAATCAGCTGAAACCAGACAAAAGTATATGAATAAAGAAGCTAAAGTAACCAGAAGACAGCAAGACATACTTAACCAAGCAATAGCACAACAATAACAGAGGTGACTTGTGATGGAGGGCTAATGGCCTGAAATAAAAACAACAGCTGAATAGAGGCTTGTCAGAAGACTTCATCTGTTCAGGCAACCATCTATTGACCAGTTTTTTTTTTCTCCAATGTTCTTTGTATTACCTAGTTGGTATTTTAGTGAAACTTGGTGGGTATGAATCAGAGGTGGATTTCAGCAGGTTCTGACCAGTTCTGGAGAACCGGTAGTGGAAATTTTGAGTAGTTCGAAGAACCAGTAGTAAAAATTCTGACTGGCCCCGCCCCCATCTATTCTCTGCCTCCCAAGTCCCAAATGATTGGGAGGAAATGGGGATTTTGCAATAACCTTCCCCTGGATTGGGGAGGGAATGGAGATTTTACAGTATCCTTCCCCTGCCACGCCCACCAAGCCATGCCCACCAAGCCACACCCACAGAACTGGTAGTAAAAATTTTTGAAACCCACCACTGGTATGAATGGGTGAAGTTTAAGCAATTGTAATCAGTATTACTAAGTGGATAACTGTGTTTCTATCTCTGCACAAGACAACAAAGCTCAAATCTGTAACAAGTAGATGGGTCAAGTAAGCTTCAGCTAAGTTGGAGATTCAGATACACATCGACCATGGTATCTGTCCACATGCAGTCACTGGTTTGAGATGCATGGCTATACCAATTAAATAATATAGATAGATAGATAGATAGATAGATAGATAGATAGATAGATAGATAGATAGTCTTCACTGGAGTCTTCAGCCATCTCAGGAAGGATTTCCTATGTGAAGTGAGGCAAAGAGCTACAAAAGAGAAGGCTTACTTATTTGGGCTCTTTTCTAAGGACCCAAATGCCCTTAGAATGCAAGTAAATATATTAAAAGTTGTGCATAGTGGCTTCCCATTATTTTTCTGCAAGAATTGCTTTTATCTTTTGGGAATATTTCATGTGTTAAAATGTAATCTTCCAAGATAATTAAATGAATTGAAGAAAAATAATAGGAAGCCAGCATGCTACAACCTCTAACATATTGATTTGCTCAAGTAAGTTTATCTGTCTGTCTGTCTGTCT